TGAGCAATATTCCCAGTTTTTAAAATATTATTTTGAGACAGGATTTTGCTAAGGTGCTGAGGCTAGTCTTAAACTATGATCCTCCTGCCTCAGCTTCCCAAGTAGCTGGGGTTACGTGCATGTGCCATCCTACTTGGCACTGATGGATTTGTTTTCTTATAGCATATTTGTATGTCCATGATTTTTAAATTAAAATCTAGACATTATATTAGAACTAGTTGAGGCTCAGTGTTACAGTTTGGATATGAGGTGTCTCTCAAAAGCTGGTGTTAATGCAGGAATATTCAGAGGTGCAGAGATTAGATTATGAGAACGTAACCAAATTGGTCCATCCTAGTTTGGATGTACTAAGTGGGTGGTAATTGTGGGCAGGTGGGGCATGGCTGGAGGAGATGTCCCTGGGGATATATCCTGGAGGGGCACAACTTCCCAGTGGTTGCTTCCCCCCACGTTCTCTGCTTCCTCCCTGCCATGAGTGGAGTAGCTTCCTTCTGTTGGGCCCTCCTGCCCTGATGTTCTGCCTCCCCTTGAGTCGAGAGCAATGGAGTTAGTTGACTATGGACCGAATCTCCAAAATTGTGAGCCTAAAATAAACTTCCTCCTGTAAGTTGTTATTGTCTGGTATTTTGGTCACAGCAATGAAAAGGTGACTAATACAGTAAGATAGAGTATATTAATCCCTGGGTCTTGTTTTGATCAATCTGTGAGTGTGAGTTGAGTCAATGCTGTTAGGATTGATCCGGTTTAGCTTTCATTGTCCTGTTGAGACTTTCCATGCAGCTGAGGCCTCAGATTCCTCTAGTGCTGAGCTGCTGCCACCTTTTTGTAGGGTAACAGTGTTTTTTTTTTTTTTTTTTTTTTTTTCCTGAGAGCTGCAGTCAGCTCTCCCCAGGTTCACCTTGCCCAGTCCCCGCTCTGAGCTCGTGGACTTCCTCCTGCTCTGGTAGACTGCTGTTTGGGGTTACTTGGTGCTGACTCCACCAGCTGGAGGGGGCACTCACTATTGTCTTTGGCCTCTCCGGGTGAGACTGGCCGGAGTACTTTGGCGCTAGGGGTAAGGCTCTTTTCAGGGTTTCTGCCCTCCTCCCCCAGGTATCCCAACTCTGTGTGTTCTCCTGCCATTCTGGGAGGCGTGTTAAATCTCTTGGCAACAGCACCGTGTTCTGAGCTCAAGATGGTTTCCTGCTTCTCCCCAAGGGTTAGAGGACTTTTCCCTCTCTCTTTCCCCAGTTGCAGTTGGCAGTGGTTCCAGAAACTGTGCTCTTCTCCCATTGGCTTATGCTTTGTGTAAGGAGAGGTCTGGGGATGTGAGCAGGGTTCTTGCTGTTCCACAGCACCTGCCAATCACTTCCTATGGGCCTGGTGCTCCGTCTGGTCTCCTATCTTGTCCTTAGTTTTTTTTTTCTCTCATGGGACAGAGCCTGTGAGCTTCCCTTCATATGGACTCCTACTACGCCACACCCTTGGACTAGCCCATTCTTGGCCTTTAATTCCTTAGAAATTAAAATTTTTTTGTTGATGTTTTCTTACTTGATTTTACGGTAGCTTTTCTCTTATGCTCCACCACCAGTTTGTGTCCCATCTGTCCTTGAAGGGACCTGTCCCTCTTTTGATTCCAAGTTACTTGTTTACCTTAGGACCTCAGGTCTCTGATCAGCTCAAGAAAAATTTTAATTTTATAGTTGTTCTGGGTTTTTCTCATTATTGGGGTGGTTGGAACAATCTTTTGGATTTCTACATCCCAAGAAAGAAAGGAAACACCTCAGAGGCTTTTGGTGTACTTTATTATTTCCCCAGTTAGGATGAAGATCTCTGAGACCTGCAGATCTGGGGTGTGGCTGTGGGCCCCCAGGAGGGAAGCACGGAAGTTTGTCTTGCTTTCCTGAGGGAATCTACCAAGGCCTTCTCAACAGAATCTCCCAGAGTCTGTAAATATCTAGAATTTTCAGGGTTTAAGCCTTTGTGCATGGGAGGGGCAAGGTGAAGCCTGGCTCTTTATGCACTGCTGAGGCCAAGGGCCTGTTAAGAGTTTTCCATTATCAGCCTGGATCCATAGAAGTCCCTAGATAGCATAGCTTTGTTTTGTCTTGCTGTTTTATAGATTTTTTAAAATCACTGCTTTTTTTTTTTTTTAAAGAGAGAGTGAGAGAGGAGAGAGAGAGAGAATTTTTAATATTTATTTTTTAGTTCTCGGCAGACACAACATCTTTGTTGGTATGTGGTGCTGAGGA